GGCTTTTACCAACGATGACAGTTGTGTTGACTTCGTAGCGATCGAGTTTGTAGCAGTCAACGAAGCGTTTAAATCGTGTTAGCGTCAATATACCACTGCACGGACACGAACCCCAGACAAGCGGTGGTGGAAATGTCGCCCGTGTTTATGAGAATCAGCTTGAACACTACACATTTACACACAGACAGGACAGGACATACACAGAGCTGTCTGTCAACGAGTCGTTAGCCTGTGTTTGTTATTAAAAATTCACGTGCTCCGAACTATGCCTAGCTCTCTAATTGGTTGTTCGTTCTGCCGAAGACGCCGTTGGCATAGCAACAGCACCGGAAGTCATCGTTTCTCCGTAAGAAGTCGTAACTTTCCTCCTCTCACTTAAGAACGCGTTTGTGAATACCGTTTTCGCCTCATCTTACGATGATCGTAACTTTACGAACTTCTTAGCTAAGTTGTCGTAGGTAAGAGGTTTTTTATGAATCTGAGGCCAGATTCTCAAAGCGAACTTACGACGAAAAAAATGCGTACGACAAATTTGAGAGAAAATCCGTATTCTCGAAACGAAATTGTCGTAACTTTTGCGCAGGTTACGACAAAATCCTACGACCAGTGTTGCCAATTTAGCGGTTTTCCCGCTAAACTTAGCGGTTTTTGGTTCTGTTTAGCGGGATAAAGTATTGTTTTGCGGGTGGCGGGATTTTTAGCCGGTTTTATGTAACCTTGGCGGTTTCTTAGCGATATAGAAGTTATATCAATTTACTGTCAACGATACACCTTTCATATCCATAATGATAAGGATAATAAGCCACAGTCGTCTTCGCTTACTCTCAGTAATTGTCTGGTTTGGGAGAGTAACGCCTGTGACGTCATCAAAACATTAAGACGTCGAACGGTCCAACATCGGAACATGCCTCCCCGTTTTGTGCGTGCACGTTTGAACTGCATAAATGTTCCAATTTTCCTTTGACGTTATTGTCACTGATTCGTTAAATGGGCGCGGTGAAGTACGCTCAAAAATTTAGAAAAGGCTGGCTATAAGACCCCTAACTTAAAGACTGGCTACTGGAGGTTCCTGGTGATAGCAGACGAGCCAGGTGCCGCTATTTCAAAACGGAACTGTCTGTGAAGAATGTGGATTTGGTCATGCACGCTGCAACGAAGAAGCATGTTTCGGCCGCTGCGCCTTTCTCCTCTGGTAGCAGACGACTCTACAAGTTGAACGGGGCTAACTAGTCACTCACTGCTGAAGGGTCCCTTGCCATGTTCGTATGCGCTCACTCTGCAATGTTGGCTTAGGATCACTTGGGTGAACTGTGGCGTGGCGTGACAGATTTCTAGCCAAAACAAAAGGAAAGCTTCCTTTGAGATGGCATTGATATGATCTACACTGTTATTATACCTTTGTAAAGAATTAAAGCAAAAAAAAAAGTTTAAAAAGTTGTTTTGCGCAGTGTTTTGGATTTAGCGGTTTTTTAGCGGTTTTCGGGATTCCGACAGCGTGTTTTGAACTTTTGAGTTGGCAACACTGGCGTTTAAATCGTGTTAGCGTCAATATACCACTGCACGGACACGAACCCCAGACAAGCGGTGGTGGAAATGTCGCCCGTGTTTATGAGAATCAGCTTGAACACTACACATTTACACACAGACAGGACAGGACATACACAGAGCTGTCTGTCAACGAGTCGTTAGCCTGTGTTTGTTATTAAAAATCCACGTGCTCCGAACTATGCCTAGCTCTCTAATTGGTTGTTCGTTCTGCCGAAGACGCCGTTGGCATAGCAACAGCACCGGAAGTCATCGTTTCTCCGTAAGAAGTCGTAACTTTCCTCCTCTCACTTAAGAACGCGTTTGTGAATACCGTTTTCGCCTCATCTTACGATGATCGTAACTTTACGAACTTCTTAGCTAAGTTGTCGTAGGTAAGAGGTTTTTTATGAATCTGAGGCCAGATTCTCAAAGCGAACTTACGACGAAAAAAATGCGTACGACAAATTTGAGAGAAAATCCGTATTCTCGAAACGAAATTGTCGTAACTTTTGCGCAGGTTACGACAAAATCCTACGACAGCTCCGAAGCTGTCTTACGCACTTTCTACGATCAAATTAACATGGCCGACAACGTCACTCGGTTGCTCGGTCGCGACGACCCAACGGACATTTATTTTTCTACCTGCTCTTCTTGCGCGTCCCGACTTAAAGCAGCAAGAAAGAAATGAAGAAGTACTTGAAACCGACCACGACGAACATGAACGCTGGATCCAGACACCCGGAAAAGGCAACAAAGGCGACGATCCCACCGACCAAGCGAGCTCGGCAGAATATAAAGGCCTAGCAGGCACTCCGACCCGTTCCGGCGCAGCATTGCTCAGGCGGTCCTTGGCCAAGACCGTCTGCCCACGACCGGCTGGCTTGCTGAATGGAATATGCCCGCGCGACCCTTGTGGACCCTCCCCGTATGAATAGTTTGATAGCTGAACTAAATTTCAGAGGTCAACCGATTCCCCTTATCATCTCAATCACCTTGTTTTCCGAGGCAGCGGTGACGAACGCTGTCGTCGAAAAGGGACTCCTCGATTATATCTCCTTGTTTTGTGTGATATAGAGCTCAAATAAACGCCGTATGGATTACCTTCGCAACACGGTATGTACACTTTGTTATTAGTATGCCATTTTTAACTGTCGAGCTGTATCAGTTTGTGGGAGCTACGCGATGCACGTCAGTATCGAGTTGCAGTCGTAGAAGATCGGTCCCGAAGCGCTTACCGAAACGCAGTCTGAATCCAGCACTTCGATCAAACGCACGCGTCCGCTCCGAGTGTGAACAGGTATTTGCGTGGCTCTTGCTGACACTCTCGTAGTTCAAACGTATCTTTTTTAACGTCGGCTCACTCCTGCATTTCCGAGCCTGCGAGAAACGCCGCGGCGGTTTGTTTCCTTCTACGTCGCTTTGCAAACGACTGGCACGGGGCTTTTAACAACGATGACAGTCGTGTTGACTTCGTAGCGATCGAGTTTGTAGCAGTCAACGAAGCGTTTAAATCCTGTTAGCGTCGATATACCACTGCACGGACACGAACCCTAGACAAGCGGTGGTGGAAAGGTCGCCCGTGTTTATGAGAATCAGCTTGAACACTACAGATTTACAGACAGACAGGACAGGACATACACGGAGCTGTCTATCAACGAGTGGTTAGCCTGTGTTTGTTATTAAAAATCCACGTGCTCCGAACTATGCCTAGCTCTCTAATTGGTTGTTCGTTTTGCCGAAGACGCCGTTGCCATAGCAACAGCACCGGAAGTCATCGTTTCTCCGTAAGAGGTCGTAACTTTCCTCCTCTCACTTAAGAACGCGTTTGTGAATACCGTTCTCGTCTCATCTTACGATGATCGTAACTTTACGAACTTCGTAGCTAAGTTGTCGTAGGTAAGAGGTTTTTTTATGAATCTGGCCTCTGGCCTCTGGTCTTTACATGCGAGCTCGACTTCGCCTTTCACAGAGGGCAGACGAAATAACTCGAGCGGTACGTTGTTTTTGTCTAACAACTAGCAGACGCACATCAAGGAGGGAATTCAGAGGACTCACTGGCGAGGTGTCCCGAGGCGCCGAGGTTTGTTTACTAAGAACCGGGAGGTGAGCGTGCAAGTTCCCTCCCAAATACCTTGTCCCTCCTTTCGTGTGCGGCGATACCCCCCATTCTTTAACAGCGTCGGCGGGTTGGCGCAGTTGACGTCGTCTGCTCTACGTCTGCTAGTCAAAGCGATGGCTGCTTTACCTTCCCTGCGTCTGTCGGAGATTCACCGCTTTTTCACCGGCGAGAGTCGCCGTTGCCTCGGGAAACAAGGAGATAACAAGAGGAATAAATTGACCTCTTAATCCAAAAGTGAGGTCAGCGATCAAAGTATAATACGGGAAGGGTTCACAAGGGTCGCGCGGGCATATTCCATTCAGCACGCCAGCCGGTCGTGGGCAGACGATCGCCGAGTCCGGGAGTGCCTGCTAGGCCTAACTGCCGTGCTCGCTTGGTCGCGTTTGGTGGAATCATGACCGTTGGAGCTTTTCCCGGGTGTTCGTGGATCCAGCGTTCTTGTTCGTCGTGGTCTGTTTCAAGTACTTTTTACTTTTTTCTTGCTGCTTGAAGTCGGGACGCGTGAGAAGCGCACATAGAAAAATAAACGTCCGTGGGTCGTCGCGACCGCGACGCTGTCGGTCATGCTGATTGTAAGAAGTGCGTACGACAGCTTCAAAGCTGTCCTAGGATTTCGTCGTAACCTGCGCAAAACTTGCGAAAATTTCGTTTGGTGAATACAAATTTGTTCTTAAGTTATGGCTTACGCATATTTTTGGCGTAAGATCGTTTCCTGCGACTTACGAAAGTCGCAGGAAAGGTAAGACAGACGCAGACGACGTTGCGAGCAGACGACGCTGCAAAGGAGCAGACGACGCTCAGATAGGGGGGCGCGATCAGCCAATCAGGGCTCGGCGTTCTGACGTCACCGCTACCCCCTGCGCAAGAAGCAGACGAACTTGCCCTCCGCATACCCAATAAGCTCAACAAATAATACAAAAAAGTACTTTTCCTGTTTTACAAAGCTGACGAATTTTAATGATAAATAAATTCATATATGTTACGCATGATTCAACAGCCTCCTTATAAAAAGAAAAAAAAAATCGGTGAGCTTTTCTCCGCATACGCTCAATGGCCGGTGAGCTTTTCTCCGGGATTCGGCGCTAGGGGTCTGGCGTTGAGGCTTAGCATAGTATGTTGTCCCGGCCCTTCCTTACCTCCTGACGCATCTCATCCCCACCTTCCCATCTGGGTGGCTGGCTAGCAGACGCACCCGTAGGGACCCTTGCCTTTTTGCCTAGCCTTGCGAGCCACCCAGAGCACGTTTGCTTCGTACATTATTATTATTAAAACCTCCTCAACCGGCGATTTCCAATTATGATGGGTTGGCCAAGCCATCACACCCGTCCCAGAAACGAAAAGATGCAACAACTAGTTTGTAATAAGTATGATATGTATTTTGCAAAACTCGCGGTATTACAGTGTAGCACGCTTACTGATTCACAGCTCACATTTCAAAAACAACATAAAATACAAGACCGTCGGGCATTGCATCAGGGAATCGATGGTAAACAAATATTATGCACTCTCTTCACCAAGCAAGCTACGAAATGAACACAAAATTTGAGAAATGGCTAGTACCCCCCTGGAAAACCTCCCCTGTTAAGCTCAGTCGAAAGATTAGATAGTCAGCGACAGCCTGCTCCAAGATTTGGATTTGAACCCGAACCCCCCCCCCCCCCGCTTTCCCCTAACCCCGAACCAGTGAGGAACGTTTCTCATGGACCAGTCCTCACTGTAGCATTGTGACCTCCTTCCCCCCCCCCCCCCCCCCCCTCCCCCACTGGCTCCTCAAGTGCACTACAGCGGGATTCCCACACATATGAGAAACAAAGGACTAACGACACACCGGATATAAATAATACAAACACTTGACCCTTAGGCCTCTTAAATTAAGTAGATAAAAACTCTCCGTGGCAAAGCAGCGTGCACCTAGTGCAGCTGAATCTTGAGAAAGGAAGACGGCTTGGCTGGACCGGCCCTAAAAACAGCGGCAGTTCGGCTGGACGCCACCACAGTTGGTGTATCAGTGAAGCCCGCTCCACCCGCAACAAACCAATAGGCTGACGCCCGCATCGCTCGTCCATGGCTAGGGCATCCGGTCATGGGCACGCACCAATAAACCATCAACGAGAGAGTGCAGCTGCACTGTTCTCTAGGTCAGAATAATTCTATGTTCACCGTTTGCTTCTTGAACTAGAGCGCTGGCAAAAATAAAATCTATCGCCCTTCGCTAGGCACCTAGAGCAGAAAGCTTGGTGGAATTGCCCGACGTCATGTAATAGAGCCTTGCAACTAAAATGTCTCCCAAGGCTTTGTCTATCTTTTCTTCCAAATGGAATCGGACATATGACCAAAAGCAAAGGGTCGTTGAAAAACATGGATATGACCGGATTTCGACAATACGCCGGTACACCGCTGAATTTAAGGGTCATCACCGAAAACCGGAAGCCCTGCTCATAGCTCGGTGCCCCATCGTGCAGTCAGCATCACTTTGATTGAGAATGTCTGGAATTGCAGCCAGACACGAGCCCGCAGTTTAGGTTTTCGCCCAGCCTCCTACTAGGAGTATCTAAGGTATGTACTAGAATAAACTACGAGCGATGAATGCTTATAAATTGCATAATGTGGCAAATCTGCATATGCCGCATTGCCTAGGGGCCCGACCCGCAGCCACTCAATGTCCCCCAAGTACCGCACTCCATAGCACCCCCAGAGAAGGAAATAGTGGTCGACAATCAGTTGCTTGTGGCTATTCCCAGACACAAATGGATGATGAGTAACAGACATACTGACACTCGCACAGCTGAAGCAACAAGAGAGAGAGCACTGCTCACTCTTAAATGACAGAGAAAAATAGACAATGTGGTCACTCCTTTGGCTTCATTTCAAAGAATCTCTCTCTACTTAAAAAAAAAAAAAAAATGAGCTCCCATTGTCAGCTTTCCTCCCGAGTGACACCTCTCCATAGCCTATGCAGTTCAGAAAGAAGTCTTTCCCCAAACAGCTACTACACCATACACACCATACCTTCTGGCAGACAGCACAAGCTTATTATGAACAAAGTACAGGCATCTACTCAGTGGTGCAGGGGGGACACAATTGCACCCCCTCCCCCCTCAACATTTCTAGCTGTGTTGCCAGATGGTGAAATTTACCACCATATTATGGAAATGTGCTATGTACCTCAGAGTGACTGGGTTATTTAAAGTTACTCTTAAAGTATGGAATCTGATCAATATGAATACTTAATCACTTTTAGGTGTTTTTTATGTTCATTTTAGTGTCTGGTGAAATTTCGATGAGTGGTTTTGCCAGCACCTTGAAATATGGAATCACCGATTTCTAGTAAACAATTCAGGGAAAACAGAGGGAATCCTCCCGCCCCCTTTTCCCGCATACTTCCGAAGCCACAGCATCTACTTCCTTGCAGGACAAGCGGACAGTCTATGTTTAACATTTACAAGAGGAGTCAATAACGCTTCCCCCCCACCGCCCCAAAAGCAGTAGACACTGGGACATTGAGCACGATGCTCGTGTGCTCGGAATCCCAGGGCAGATAGCATTTTCAAGGTTGAATGTCATTGGGTCAATGACGCCTCACTCGTTGCTCTTCCTGCATAAATGATAATGAATGGCCTCAATGTGCTGTGAGAAAATGTATGTGTAATGCTTGTAAAAAGCTTGTACAATTAGCAAGAAAGCATGCTACACTCTGTAACAATATGAAAGACCCACTCCTCGTACCTTGGCACAGTTCAAGTGGGTCTTTGAAATTGTTGGACACTGCACAATCTTGGGCTAAGAAGCCGAGTACAGCAGATTCATGTTGAATCCAGCCCGATGCTTGCACTATGAAGCGACACCGAGAAAAAGCCTGGAAGCTCTGGTTCTTTGTGAATACCCAGTAAGTCTCGCCATGGCTAGAACCACAAGATATGCAAAGAGCAGTCAAATATCTCTACATTTCTACTTCTAGATCCAACTATTCAAACGTTTCCATCTCCCCAATCGCCAAGTGAGGCGGGCTCATGACCGAGCCCTGTTCTTTTGCCATAAATATTTTTCAAGAGACGACTGAAGCAGTGTCTTCGACAGTGCATCAAGTCAGCTTGAGACAACCTCCAAGAAATGTCCACTAGGATGTCTCTGACCCCGACGTTCAACTGCCTAGTAATTGGCTGTTTAGGCTGAACTGCCAGCTTGCACTGCACCCGACGAAGAGTCCCCAACATACACTTCACTTCCCCTTTTCTCTCTCTGTCATCCTCCTCTCCCAAGTTTGGTTTCCTACCCTTCGAACAAAGGGCCCACTGGGCCGTGTCTTGCCACCTAAGTCACTGCTTTCCCTCACACGCAGTTCGAAAAGACACCAAGAGCCCTAATCTACACAGCATGACCAAGTGGAATCTAGGAATTGGGACATCGCCGCCTGCTGCGATTGGTCAGCGCCGCGCCACTGACCAATCGCAGCAGGAGGTGATGTCCCAGTCCCTTGGTCCTGCCGTGTAGATTAGGGCCCCAAGTTAGCATTTTCTGCTTTGTAGAGGACCGAGGCTGCGTGTCAGCCTTTCAAAGGGACACGAGTCCTCTCAGTGTACTCTTGCAGATGGCAGCAACAACTCCCGACCAAGTGACTGTATGCAGCCAGTCATTCGTTTTCAGCGAGGGAGAGCGAGTGCGGTACTCGGGGCACACCAAGCGGCCCTGGCCTGGACCTGCACCAGGGAGCGCCCTAGGACGGTGCGGTGGAAGACTTGACTGCCATCAGGATCTGGGTGAAGCCCTTGTTGAGCCTGTCGATGAGGGCCAGTTTGAAGTTGTTGTGCTCCTGCTTGAGCCGGTTCTCCATGTCGAGGACGATGCGCACGCGCTCCTCGTGTCGCATCTCCTCCTCATTCAGGATCTGCAGGGCCATAAGGCGCTGCTGCTCCACCACCGTCTTCACAATGTCACAAGAGCAGTCGCAAGGCACCTCGGCGTAAGGGAAGCTGTCGCTCTCGTCGTCTTCTTCCTCCGAGTGGTTCCCGTTGATGGCGCCGGCTGAAACGGAGCAGCCGCACCTTAGCACCCAGCCACGGATTCTCGGCCCACGTCCCAAAAGATAGAGACTTCTGAAACTTGCCCGAGAAAGTTCCGGGCTTCAAAAGCAACTCCACCCAAAGAAAGAGGAGCAACCTTTGTTTCGTTTAAAAACCAAGTCTCACACCAAGACAACTTGACGAAGTTCTCCGCAATATTTTACCCAAATGTCTAAAAAGAACTGAGTGTAAATTGCATCTGAAAGCACCTTTTCAGGAGGGCCCAGTGACACTACATCCATACCCTTTTTTCCCCCTTGTCACAAACTCCCTACCTATCATCTGCATCTGCATCTCCCTCCCTCCCTCCCTCCCTCCCTCCCTCCCTCCCTCCCTCCCTCCCTCCCTCCCTCCCCTCCCCTCCCCTCCCCTCCCCTCCCCCTCCCCTCCCCCTCCTCCCTCCCTCCCTCCCTCCCTCCCTCCCTCCCTCCCTCCCCCTCCCCTCCCCTCCCCTCCCCTCCCCTCCCCTCCCCCCCCCCCCCCCCCCCCCCCCCCCCATGCACGACGAAAGAAGAATAACATGCAGCAAGATGTGGCTCTGCACGTCTTGCTCAATGTTCTGATGACTCTTGTGCTTGAAACAAAATTGTGCAGCACTTTTGGGAGCCTTACCTTAAACTAAATTTCTCATTCAGAACTTTGTGGAGATTAATAAAATCATATGACAACTTCTTCGCTGTGTTTGAATCACAATATGCAGTTTTTTTGGCTGGAGTGGCCCCCTACCAAGAAGAGACAAAAATGGCGACACATGACAGTTCCTTGAATTGTGGGCATGTTTCACCCAATTCACCTCTGGGATTGACAATCCTGGGGTCTTCACCTAAAGCCCCTAGTCAGCTTCAGTGTGTCAAGGGCTACTTCCCAAAGCCTTTGGCTCTTTTTGCAGGCTAGAAGTATTGTGACATGTGGAACAACCAGGCACATGTACACTGACATCTAATTTGAGTGTCCGCCTACACATTCTCAATGGCAGAGGCGTCGGAACTATTCGGGAGATGGAAAGGCAACGGTAGTGGGGAGGCTAGTGAGACTTTCTGGCCCCTTCCCGTATTGCATACAATAAATTTTTTATATGTCTCGCTACTCCCTACAGAAAACTGACAAAAATAGGACAGCAGCTATTTTGCTAGCTTATGCTATGACTTTAGTGTCATAAACATAACAATTTGTGCCTTATGCAAATACCAGATATAACGAACTCTGGATACCGTGAACATATTACCAATTCCCGTCAACTTTGTTATAACCAAGTTCAACCAAGCACCATTTCAGCTGACATTCTGAAAGCACTATCACACACTCTCTTAGTGTTCCAAGATGCATCAGACATTATGGAATCAATATCCAAGATTTGTTTCCAAAAGTAAAAACAAAGTGAGCGAACAAGATGGATGTTACACGATTATGTATGCAAGGGGAAGTGGGCGGGTCATCCTATACCCAATTAATTTCTTGCGGGGTGCAGGATCCCAGTTTGAGAAACGCTGCACTGGGTACCCGCCGCAGCGTGGGCGTGCACTCGGCATTTCACAATATTTTCCACAGCATCCAAATGCTACTGCAGCAGTACACATTTATTTGAGATATGAATCCAGCCAGGAAGCTCAGTAAACAGCACTAACCTGTAGAAGTAAACATAAGCCGGCGCCGACTTGGAATTCGTGCAAACTGTCTCGTCGACTGCAGATATTTATTTTGAGCAAGGAACTGTATCGCACAGAACCTCGAGCATGCCACGCTTTACCATTGAAAAGCATCGCACTCTCAAAATGTACCCAGCCCCTTGAGAGGGTTTGGCGAACGGCCAGTGCCATCGTAAGCTCTCACAGTTGCCAGACTGGTCCATCCATGAAGAAGTGCTCGTCGACTCGCCCGGAGAGCTCTTCCTCCCATCGCCGGCCGACGTGCTCTCGGGCACGCTGGCATTCTCCACCTTCACAATGGAGATGTCGGGAAGCGGGAGGTTCACCACTGTCAGCGTCGTGTCGGACGGAATTCGTCTCGCCTCGGCATTGGACACTGCGGTTGCATGTGCAGCAGAGAAAGATATCGAGTCAAGGTGGCACTCACGGCAGGCCTTGCCCACAGAAGGCAAAGCTGGCATAAAGAGAAATGCATGAAAGAGAAAGAGCACCACTCTCCCACAGACTTTTCTTACCAACGGGGCAAATCTCGGCGGCAGATGTGCCCAACTAAAAGACACTTGACTGCTTTATAAAACATTAGAGATGGGAACTGTCACCTTACAGACCAAACGGGCATGGAATACTGTGAGCGTCTATGAGAGATGCTTGGAATGACGTCCCTTCATCCGCTTAGATGCGAGAAGAATTATTGTGCCATGTGATTGGGTTGTCTGCTGTTTGGGTGTTATGCGCTTCATTTGAAGGAGTGCCATCAATGTGATTGAGCCCCTTAACAAAGTGTTTTAGAGACAACATCGTCAGGAACTGTACAGTGGCATGCATCTGTTCAAAAAGACGCACAAAAATTTAGTTTGTCTGCGTTCTCAGACGTGCTTCGTCCCCAAGAAGGCTGCATTTGTGCCAAATCATTACAGATCATAACATATTACACCTTTTATGATTTGAGGGATGAACAAATTCATAAAGCTGGTTACTATGAAGTGTTTTCAACTAAGAAAGTGATTGAAAAATGGCTCATTATTTTGTATGTCACTCAGAAAGGTGGTCACCCTTGTCCTCACCCTTTACGCAAGCAATCATCCAATACCATAGACTCGGGAAACACTAGACAGTGTGCCAGAGTGCCCAGGAGGCGACGGGGCTTTGTTTGCTGCCATGCGCTAGCACCATCTCTTGGCATGGTGTCAGCATGGTGCTCTATTTGCAAGCACAGAGTGTGCATACATCCTGCCAATTTCCTGCTTTTGCCAACTTACCTTCATTTTCAAGGCACGGAAAATGACAAGACCGTCATAACCAGTCGTATGAGCAGACTAGATTTTAAGAAATAAAGTATTCAAACCATCTACACTCCGATTCATGTTACGATAGACTGTAGTGGACACTATGAGCCATCCCAGCCAATCCAGCTCTGTGAATGTAGCATGTAACTACACTTTCTGCGCATCACGGTGCTTCCCGTCGAAGGCAACACGAATCACACACGGATTGTCTCCCATGGCTCGTAGCATTTGCTGCGGACAGATGCAAGGTGAAACCAAGTACAGCGTGCACAAATTCTGTTTAGAAAGTATCCAACCTTAATTTTTTTTTTTTTTTTTTTTTTTTATGGAAACTATGATTTTTTTTTAAATGTGCAGCACCCTGTGAGGTGCTGAGAAGAATTCGGGGAACTGACCATATAGAATCGGATGCAGAAGGTGAGAGAGACAACATAGGCGAGCAGACAGGCGTAGGAGTGCAATTGCGCTACCCCCCTCTCTCTCTCTCTCTCTATCTTCAGTATCACGTGGTAGATGCCATGAGAGCAGGATTGGAGTTAAAACCCAGAATGTACCCTATTTTATTTTTCTGGCCTAGGGTCGAATACAGGACATTCACATAATTCATTATTTACTGGCCTCTTTGGGCAAGTCCGTCATTGCCAGGAAGCCAGCGTATGCAGTGGTGCAACGTGTGCTTGTCGTAAGTTTGATTTTCTGGGCCATGATGGAATGCGTCACACATTGCCACTGCATCAAGTAAGTTTAGTGGGACCCGTGGTGAAACAATTAAAAAGATTAAGCAGACTTTCGGCAACACTGCCGTGGGGATTACGCAAATTAAAGGATGGTTTCACTGTCTTAAAAATGACCAAACTTCAGCAGACAATGCCCAGTGTACCAGCAGACCTTCAACAAAGCCGAAATGAGGATGTTGTCGAAAAGGTTCCCACTTTAATCGTGGAAGATCAATGGCCAACCAAGTGCGGAGTTCCCCAGGCCTCCCAGGCTCTTTCCTTTCCTGACCTTCTGGTGATTTCTGGTTGCTCTCCAAGCTAAAGATTTTCTGACCCCCCTATCAGTCATTCTCCCACCAGACGCCTTGTGATGACCTCCCAATGAACCCCTTTGTAATTATTTCTGTATTATAAACATAATCGATTCACCTAAACTATCTTCGTCCTCTAATACAGTCTGTATAAATGCTAAGAAAAAAAAAAGCTCAAATGTACACGTTTATTCTTCTCACAAGCATATTTACTCAATCCTTGAAACTGGGTATTTTACCAGATGATTAGAGAGTAGCCAAAGTGCTCCCAGTTCACAAACGAGGTGATAAACTTAAACCCAGATCACGTTCACCAATCTCACTGGCCATGTGTCCGATAAAAAAAACTCTCGAACATGTTATTTACTATAATTTAGTAAATTTTCTAGAATCAAATAGTTTCTGCTGTCCTTCTCAGCAAAACTTTGAGATAACATTCTCATGCGGAACACAGCCAGTATCATCCAGACGTGACCTCCATTATATGCCCGATGGCGGCTCCCAAGTAGACTGCACCATTTTGGATTTCTCAAAAGCCTATGATTAGATCCCCCATACCTTACTCTTCAAAAAGCTTAAGTCAGTTAAATACTAACCAGGCAGTACTCACATGGGGAGTCATTTCTAACTAACAGTAAACTATTTGTAAACACTAAGAATTCTACCTCCACCATGCTATCTGTAACATCAGGTATGCCCATTGTTCAGTGCTGGGTCCATTATTATTTCTAATTTATATCAATGATTTACCCTCTCATGCATCCTCTAAAATGTATTTTTATGCAGATGACTGCGTTATCTAGTACAGGATTACTAATCAATCTGGTTCAAATCTACCAAAGGATATTAATAGTGCCTTTTACTGGGGTGACTCGTGGTCAATAGTATGTTGCAGTAGTGAACGTAAAATTACAAGAGTATTACATTGTGCTTCACCCGAGCCCCATTATATGCTCAATAACTGTCCCCTTCAAGCATTTTCTGTTTACAAGTACCTCGGAGCATGGGCATCCGGAGAACTCTTTCCGGGAGGGGGGGGGGGGGGGGGGGGGGACACTTTTTTTTTTAGATGGGAGCAACCCGGGAAATATTTGGCAAAAGCATCGCTGTGGCAAGCCCCGATTGGCCAAACGGGCACTACAACGTTTTAGGACAGGACTGAAGCCCTTTGGTCACATCATTCAGCTTTTGCCGACGGAAACAAGAGCAACGCCAGACTGCCAACTTTGACAGCTTCAAGCGTGTGTTGGCTTGTTAGACGTAGCATCAGGCCTGTTGATCGCATCTGATATTCCTAGTCATGCCATCGCGAGTAAAGACCATAAAGCCACAGTCCCACCGCTCATTCATCGTACAAAAGACACGGTCTGCAGACGTGATGACAGAATTATCTGCGTCTCACGCATCTTCGAAGCATGTTTGCTTTGTGCTTCAAACATGTCTGCAGCGAGTTTTTGTACGACCAATATGACCATCATACAAGGAAGAAACATGATTCAGACACTGTCTGGAGACCATCCTTGGTAGGATGTATTAGCAGTATGACTGCGACCTAAAAATGCGCCACTGAAAACCTCATTGTCAATGCCCCCGGAATCGCAAGGTGGGGGGGACGCCCTTGCCTAGGAGCTCACTTTACATCTAATGGCGCCACGACGGATGGACAGATGGATGGACGCCAACAGCCGTACCCGTTATGACGGGCGGTAGCTTTCGCCGCCATATAGTTGGCACCAGTGTTGCCAATCTAGCGCTTTTCCCACTAAATTTAGCCGTTTTCTCATTCTTTTAGCAGGAGAAATGGCCGTTCTGTGGGCAGCAGGATTCTTAGCGGTTTTCAATTAGTCTCGGCGTTTTTCCCAGCGGTCTAAAACTTTCTTGAGTTTAATAACTTAAACTACCGTGGTAAGTTAGAGTTGCGGGGTTGTCAACTTTGCTTGCTGTCAGCAAAATTGATGCCAGTGAGAGTAACGCTTGGGATGCCATTGAGATATTACAGTGGCAAACATTCAACATGCTTTCTACTGGTTTGTGTGTGAATGTATGAATTTGTTTTCCAAGTCTGTCATATGAAGTGGGCCCTGTGAACTATGTACAAAACTTACGAAAACACGGGGGCTCTAGGATTAGTTACTGGAACTTCTTAGAGACATTAGACGAATCAAATACTTTGGAAAATATAACTTTTTGCAAAGCCTGTGAATTTGGTCACTGAAGCCCCGAACTGCCACCCAAATATTGCACTAAAAATCAAAACAATGGGGGGTGTATGTCAGCAGGCATGGCAAGACAACACACCTGGGATCATGCAGTGGACACTGTTCTGTGTATGGAAGCGATTCGCATCCGAACATAGGTCCCGTCTAAGCATTCTTTCATTTATTGTACTGCTTTTAGGCTAACCATAGCAGTAAATTGTGTGCACCCAAAATTTAGCACTTTTTCGGGATTCCTAGTGTAGGTTTTTGATTTTTGAGTTGGAAACACTGGCCGCCACCATATAAGCACACGTGCTGAACCTCAATGTACTAAGAGGGCGTTGCCCCAAGGGACAAAAAGGCCACAACAAGTGGTCTTGACGCTTCTGGGCTGCCAAGTTCTGCAATCTTTAACTATCTGCCTCGTCTATTTAGATTAAATGTAGTTTCTTGTTTTGATAATCCTGGCTCTGTGCTGTTCCTGTCGGCAAGGCAACTTTGCACGTGCATGTGTGTGTGCGTGCACGTGTCACACAATCACACACAAACAGGTGTGTTTGTGACAGACCAGTGTGTCACAAGTCATATTGACTACACTACTAAGACTGCTAACCGTATGCTAAGGTTTCTAAAAAGAAAATCTTATACTTAGCTCTCATCTCTGAATTTAACTTTCCACAAAAACCTTGCACAATCAAAGTTTAAATATGCGACATGTGTTTGGGACCCTTTCACCGTATTCTAGCTGATTCATATGAAGCTATATAAAAGTGGTCCATTAGATTTATGTTTTCCAATTACCATCAAGCAGCCAGTGCTACCACTATGAAATCCAATCTCTCCCTCTCTTGACTATCAACCTGTA